CTATTATTTCTATTCTATTCTATGCTATTCCATTCCATATTTTTTATTCTATTCCATTCTGCATTCTATTCTATTCTGTTCTATTATTTCTATTCTATTCTACTCTATTCTACTATTCTATTCTACTCTACTCTTTCTATTCTATTCCTATTCTATTCTATTCTATTCCATTCCAATTCTATTATTTCTATTCTATTCTATCCTATCCTATTCCATTCCATATTTTTTATTCTATTCCATTCTGCATTCTATTCTACTATTCTATTCTACTCTACTCTACTCTACTCTATTCTATTATTTCTATTCTATTCTATCCTATCCTATCCTATTCCATTCTATATTTTCTATTCTATTCCATTCTGCATTCTATTCTATTCCATTCCATTCCAATTCTATTATTTCTATTCTATTCTATCCTATTTCATTCCATATTTTCTATTCTATTCCATTCTGCATTCTATTCTATTCTATTCTATTCTATTCTATTCTGTTCTATTATTTCTATTCTATTCTATTCTATTCCATTCCATATTTTCTATTCTATTCCATTCCATATTTTCTATTCTATTATTTCTATTCTATTCTATTCTATTCTATTCTGTTCTATTCTACTCTACTCTGTATTCTTGTCTACTGATATGACTGGTCTACACACAACACTCGGCAATTTTTGACCAATCTTCGGCCTACAACATTTAACCTGTTAACAAGAATCCTTGACAATAACATCTACAAACACTTGGTTTCAAATTCATTGTACTTTCTAGAATAATGTTTTTCAAGCTTGGCAACTTTTAAGATGTGTGGACTTCCTCCCCAAATTCTCCAGTCAATATTCTGGCTGGGGAATTCTGGGCGTCAAAGTCTACACGTCTTAAAAGTGCTAAGTTTGAAAGACACGGGACTCTAGGAAGAAGGGAATTTCAAACTTCCAAGCCCAATAGTTGATTGATAAAATAGTATTATGACGTATTATCCAATCAAGGACAAATGTTTTACATTTGCTCTGTATGGATAATAGGAAACTATGTGCAAAAGCAGGGGGGGGGGAATGGTTACTTTTAGGTACAGTTAAAATCTTTAGTGATGTCTTATGGATTTTGTTTTTCCCATACCATAAAAAAGCGTGCCAACCCAGTTGTAAATCATGTCCCTCCAAATACAACAGCCTTTTGTTTCCAAGAGTTATCCATTCTTTTACCCATGTTAATACAGATGCTTGATAATAATATAAGACCCACTCTGGCAAACCAAAACCTCCATTTTCCTTGGCTTCTTGTAACATTTCCATCTTGATTCTAGCTTTCTTTCCTTGCCAAATAAATTTCAAAATGAATGAATTTAAATCTTCAAAGAATTTTTTTCTCAAGTTTTATGGGTATCGTTTGGAATAAAAACAAGATTTTGGGTAATAGATTCCTTTTCACTGTAGCAATGTTTCCTAATATCGACAGTTGTAGGTTTTTCCATCTTTCCGAGCCCAGTCTTGGTTGATTCAATCATTTTGTGTAATTATTGGAATTTAAACTGATCAAGCAATCACAAAAAGAAAAAAGCTGAACAGCGGATTTGAATTATGGATTGGCACAAAGCATTGACAATGGAAGGAAGTTATAAGTATTTGGGTGTTTTAGAACTAAACAATGTTTTGGATGCACCGGTGAAAAAGAAAGCCAGCATGGAATATGTAACACAAGTTAGAAAAGTTTTTAAAAGGTAGTCGAACGATGATAATATAAGCAAAGCCATTAATAATCTGGCCTACGCTTACAATAGCCCACAGTAGGATTAATGATTCATAAAACACAAGACCACAAACTTATTGACACTCCAAAATTGACATAGATCATTTGTATCTATCAAGAGTAAAATGGTGGTTGTGGTTTGTTGCAAGTGGAGTAACTGAGAATGAAATTTTACGTAAATTGGGACCAGAAAATTTTCTGTTGCTAAGCGAGACAGTCGTTAAGTGGTTTCTGCCCCATTTGACCACCTTTTTGCCCCAGTATTTAAGCAAACCACTATGGTTGTTAAACAAACCACAATGCTCATTAAATGAATTCAGCTTCCCCTATAAACCTTGCTTGTCGGAAACAGCTGGGAAAATGATAAAACGGGCGATCCCGTGATCCCAGGACCGTGCCAACTGTCACACATACATGTTGGTTGCCAAGGGCCTGAATTTTGGCTACGTGACCGCCTGAGGGCTGGTCGTAAGTCCCTTTTTTCCAAGGCTGTGTAACTCTGGTCACTGAACGAACGGTTATAAGTCGAGGACTGCCTATACATGGAGGCACGCAAAGAGAGAATGCTAATAAGGGTCTTGGACAGGGGTCTTCAAACGTGGCCCCTTTAAGACTTGTGGACTTCAACTCCCAGAATTCTCCAGCCAGCTTTGCTGAGGGGAAAGGGAGAGGTTTCCAAGCTGAGCCAGGCTGGCTCAGGAATTCTGGGAGTTGAAGTCCACAAGCCACGAGGGGGCCATAGTTCCCTCATGCTGGCTCTGGAATTCTGGGAGTTGAAGTCCACCAGTCATGAGGGGGCCATAGTTCCCTCATGCTGGCTCTGGAATTCTGAGAGTTGAAGTCCACAAGCCACGAGGGGGCCAAAGTTCCTCCATGCTGGCTCAGGAATTCTGGGAGTTGAAGTCCATAAGCCATGAGGGGGCCATAGTTCCTCCATGCTGGCTCAGGAATTCTGGGAGTTGAAGTCCACAAGTCTTAAAGGGGCCACTCCTGGTCTTGCAGAAAACCATTTTAAATGTGACAGAATCGAAGGCGTCATACAAAACCGCATAGCGACAAAAGTGAATGAAAAAATAAAAAACCCAGAATAATTGACCTTTGCATGGTCTACGGTGGAAAGAAACGGAAGGCAAAAGACGAACAGGACATAAATCTGGCAAGAGCTTTAGGCTGGAGCCACCAGGAAAGAAAGAGAAGGCTTAAACATTTGCTGTACAAAAAGTACTAGCAACAAATCACATAAGAAGGTTTCAAAAAGCGAAACCAGAGCACATGTAGACCACACACGCAAAAAAAATATATATGAGAGTGTTCATTAGCTAAATCAGCATTATAAGACATGATTGTGCGGTTAAAATGATACGCCAAAACTTAGACATGATCCAGTATGTGTCATAACCTGGTTTATAGATGTAGAGGGTATAATAATAATAAATGATAATGATAATGATAATGATAATGATGATGATGATGGTGGTGGTGGTGGTGGTGGTGGTGGTGATGATGATGATGATGATGATGATGATGATGATAATGATAATAATAATAATAATAATAATAATAATAATAATAATAATAATAATAATAATAATAATAATAATAATAATAATAATGTGTTCAAACTGGATTTGGCCTTTTTGTCTACCTATGGAGTCCTTCCCAAGGACCTGGGATAGGCAGATGTGGATGTTTGATGGTATTTCAGATCTCGTCGCAGGATGGAAGCAGTTCCTAGTAAGGCCGCCTTTTGCAATTGACTTAATGGCGAATCTGTCAATGCCGATGATGGTGTCCAAGTGGTGCTCCAGTTGTTTTGGGATTGCACCCAAGGTGCCTATTACTATTGGTACCACCCTTGCTTGCCTTTGCCACAGTCTTTCTGTTTCTATGTGTAAGTCTTTGTATTTTGGTATCTTCTCCAGTTCTTTCTCATCTATTCTGCTGTCTCCAGGCACTGCCACGTCCACTATCCAGACTTTTTTGTCTTTCTTATCGACAATTGTTAAGTCCGGGGTGCTATGTGGCAGATGCTTGTCTGTTTGAATTCTGAAGTCCCAGAGCAGTTTAACTTTACCATTTTCTATGCCTTTCTCTATTTTATGATCCCACCAGTTCTTGCTTTCAGGCAAATGATACTTCTTGCAGATCTTCCAATGCACCATTGTTGCTACTTTGTCATGCCGCTGCTTGTAGTCAGTCTGTGGGATCGGGATCTTCTTGCAGCAGCTTACCAGGTGGTCCACTGTTTCTTCAGCGTCTTTGCATAGGCGGCACTTACTGTCTGTTGCTACTACTACTACTACTACTATTATTATTATTATTATTATTATTATTATTATTATTATTATTATTATTATTATTATTATTATTATTATTATTATTTACGTACACCATTCTGAGTTGTACAAATAAAGGTGGGATCTAAGTCTAACAAAAGCACGTAAATAAAGGCTGGCTGAGTAAACTATTAAGAAGGGGAGGAAAAAACAACACCACCTTATCCAACTTCTTTTTCTCCTTCAGAAACCTCAGCCAAGCCTGTTATCAAAGGTGGAAACGAAGAAGAAGAAAAAATCGTTCACTGGGAAGGAGCTTAGAAAATGCTCTTTTTTTTTTTTTTTGCGGAAACATAACAAACAGAGCCTATTTGCCAGCAGCTATTTTAAGGTTCGGATGGAAAGCAAGGTATCATTTCCTCCAGATAGGAAGTTGATTAAAACATTAACAGCAAAAGCATTTTGGTTTGGGTTATTTAAACACCAAATCGAAGGACCAGTGGAAAAGTCACTCAACTGGAAGGACTGTCTCCTGTTACTTACTCAGTGAATATTGAGCAAATACCTCTTGCAGCCTGAAGAGATAAGGAATTAGAGCAGGGGTCCTCAACTTTGGCCACTTTAAGACTTGTGGACTTCAACTCCCAGAATTCCTCAGCCAGCTTTGCAAGCTTGGCCACTTTAAGACTTGTGGACTTCAACTCCCAGAATTCCTCACAACATGGCACCCTCACAACATGCAGGTACAGAGCGGACACAATTTCAGAGAGAGGAGAACTTTATAAGCTCTGATTCACTGTCTATCCTGGCTCACCACTGGAAGCAACTTTTGCTTTGCAACCAAGAGTAGGACGAGTCCTGCAAAATCTCAAACTGGCACTGGAGTTTCCATCTCTGAGGTGGACGATAAAGAGAACCCAGGATTTTGGGGAGAAGAGGCAGCGTGGAGGAATCAGCATTCAATTTTTTTTTTCCTTACCTCCGGTCGTTTCTCTTCCTCCTAAAGAGTTTTTTGGTGTGTGCAATTTCTGCTTCGTGTGGCAATGGCTGACCGCCCTGGGATAAAACGGGAGGAAAAAAAAGAAAGGTGGTTATAAGTTCAATGAGAAGAACCGGAGAATATTCACGATTATGGCAAGGAGCAGAGGTTGACTGTCCCTGGCCTTCCAGGGTTCAGACGAACCGCTCGTTTTATTTTTTTCCTAAGAGTTTCTAGAGCAAAATCAGCTTATGATGATTAAAGGTAGAATCGCATGCTGTTCGTACAATCAAGCTTCACCGTTGCAGTGCAGTGTGAAAAAAAGCTATTGCTTCAAAGCTTTAAGGACACAACATATCATGCGGTGGGAGTCAAGCTCTTCTCCAAGGCACCTGAAGGCAGGAGAAGAAGCAACGGATGGAAACTCATCAAGGAGAGAAGCAACCTGGAACTAAGGAGAAACTTCCTGACAGTCAGAACAATTAACCAGTGGAACTACCTGCCTCCAGAAGCGATGAATGCTCCAACACTGGAAGTCTTTAAGAAGAGACTGGACAGCCATTTGTCTGAAATGGACTAGGCCAGGGATAGGCAACCTGGGCCCTTTTATGACTGGTGGACTTCAACTCCCAGAATTCCTGAGCCAGCCTGGCTCAGCTTGGAAACCTCTCCCTTTCCCCTCAGCATGGCTGGCTGAGGAATTCTGGGAGTTGAAGTCCACCAGTCATAAAAGGGCCATAAAAGGTTGCCTACCCCTGGTATAGGGTTTCCTGCCTGAGCAGGGGGTTGGACTAGAAGACCTCCAAGGTCCCTTCCAATGCTGCTATTGTTATTGTTGTTAATAATAATAATAATAATAATAATAATAATAATAATAATAATAAGAAGAAGAAGAAGAAGAAGAAGAAGAAGTAGTAGTAGTAGTAGTAGTAGTAGTAGTAGTAGTAGTAGTAGTAGTTGGAAGGGACCATGGAGGTCATCGAGTCCAACCCCCTGCTCAGGCAGGAAACCCTATATACCATTTCAGACAAATGGCTGTCCAGTCTCTTCTTAAAAACTTCCAGTGTTGGAACATTCACCACTTCTGGAGGCAGGTGGTTCCACTGGTTAATTGTTCTAACTGTTAGGAAGTTTCTCCTTAGTTCTAAGTTGTTGTTGTTGTTGTTATGTTATATTAGGTTAAATGTCTTGGTGAGAGGCACATAATTGGAATAAAAGAGAAAGGCAAGTAGGTAAAAAAAGGCAAGGAAACCTACACTTACAATAAATCAAAGCGTTCAATATAAAACAACAGTGAAATTTGGATATTTAAAAGGCGAGAGTGGGACGGAAAAAACATTCATGAGCACCATTCACACAACTGTGGCCTGGGTTAGCCAGTATCTTCAGCAGGCACCAAGACTTAATTTTAAAAAGCCTCTCTCCGATCGCATTTCAGAAATTGGATGTTTGCTTGCAATGAATACAAATGACAATTTTTGCAAGAGGCCTACAAGCCAGGAGCCCCCTCAGAACGGCTTTCTACTTTGGCTCGCTCATAAGGGCCATCCCAGGTGAAGATGCCAACTCCGCGCCCGCTGCTTTTCGTGAAGAATACATCACTCTTGTCAAAACTGCAACGGTGAGTGTGTGTTTCTGGACCACTTGACGTCCACCCGTTTGATACCAACTCCAGATTATGCTTCATGAAGAATACATCACTGCTGTCAAAACTGCAAACGTTTGAACGCCAAAGTGGGTGCTTCTTGGACAGTTTGAGGTCAACCTCTTGGGCCCTCATCCTCAATTTTCCAGAACTTGCCTCCTGTCTCCTAACATTTCTTTCTCAGAGGAAGATCTAAGATTTAACCTGGACATATGGAGGAACTTCCTGACAGTGAGAACAATGAACCAGTGGAACAACCTGCCTCCAGAAGCTGTGGGTGCTCCAAACACTGGAGGTTTTGAAGAAGAGATTGGACAACCATTGGTCTGGAATGGTATAGGGCAGTGGTTCTCAACCTGTGGGTCGGGACCCCATTTGGGGTCGATCGACCATTTCACGGGGGTCGCCAAGCAAGACTGTCCGCCATTTTTTTTGTCCGCCATTTTTTTGTCCGCCATTTTTTCCCCCTTTTCCGGCGGGTGCCTTACCTCCCTTGGGCTGGGCCAGCTGGTGGTCGGCCTGCTCCGTCTCTGCTGCTTGCCAGCTACGCCTCGGCTGGCGCAGGGGGCGGAACCACGCATGCGTGGCGCTCCCGGGCAGGGAAAGTCCTCGACTTACGACGGGTTGGGTAGGCCTCGACTTACGACCGGTTTAGTCCTCGACTTACGACCGGTTGGGGTCGCGGCATTAAAAAGGTTGAGAACCACTGGTATAGGGTTTCCTGCCTGAGCAGGGGGTTGGACTAGATGACCTCCAAGGTCCCTTCCAGCCCTATAAATCTAAATACAGCTTTTGAGATTCTCAGTCATCCAGGTCATGGCTGTCCCATCTAGGTCAACACTGAACAGCCCTCTCTCAACAGAGAGGGAGGATAGGACTAGATGACCTCCAAGGTCCCTTCCAACTTTATTATTATTATTATTATTATTATTATTATTATTATTATTATTATTATTATTATTATTATTATTATTATTATTATTATTATTATTATCTATCTCCAGTCTACAACACGGTCCTTTCAGCCATTCCAAGAAGGCTCCACGTCCATTTGCACCACTTAGGTGACCCCGAAGACACAGGTAAACGTCCAAGTGGCCTCAACGACTCTCCAGAAGGATGCAAATGACCAGCTGTCTGCAAGGACTATAAATCCTTCCATTCCCCACCGTCCAGTCAGAGCTGAAGAAGCTTCTTGGAGGAGAAGCGAAAGGTCATCAAGCAAAAACAAAGGAAGTCCAGTTGCCTTTTGAAAAAGCACCTATGGGACAAGATTTCGTCCGTCCCAAGTTTCCATGACAATCCTCTCCCCATCTAATGAGGAAAACCACATTCAATCACCATCAAATCTATCAGGCCATTGAACGTGGAATTAGCCTCCAACCCAACTCAACCCTTGAGGTCAAAAAAAGGGAACCTCTGCTCCACCTTCTTAGCCACGATGTGGGATGAGGACTGGAGGAATTCCTGACGTGTTCTGCACTCCTGCTGCAGACCTTCCACAACGACAAACCGCTCACAACAGGCACGTAGAGATGAACAACATCTGCATACCATTTTAAAGTGACAATCAGAAAGTCCCAAAGGAAAAAAGACGATCAAAACATCTCCTCCCCATCAGTCAACACCTAGATTAGATTAGATTAACACTAGGCCAGGGGTCTTCAAGCGTGGCCCTTTGATGACTTGTGGACTTCAACTCCCAGAATTCCTCAGCCAGGCACGTGTGCCTGGCTGAGGAATTCTGGGAGTTGAAGTCCACAAGTCATCAAAGGGCCACGTTTGAAGACTCCTGATCTAGACCAATATTTTTGAAACTTGGCCACTTCAACATGGCCCGGACCTCAACTCCCAGAATTCCCCAGCTGGAGGACTCCGCACTATTTAAGCTCGCCAAGTTTGGAAAACGGTGGTTTTTGGGGTTTTTTTTTGACAGCATCCTGTGGATGCCCCTGCGTGACCTACCTCAACGGAAACCCCAACAGGACACGGATTCAGCGTTTGCTGGGATGCAAGGAAATGGATTTTTTCCGGGAGCCACGTTGATAAAAGGATCTCACCACCGTGTGTGTGTGTGTTTGTGTGTGTGTGTATGTGTGGGCCGCCTGCGTGGGAGAAGATCTATTCAGCACCTGAGTATCTAGGTTTCCCTGGAAACAAGACTGTGAGGATCATGGTTAAGTCCGAAACGAAGCTATTTTTTTTTACTCCTGCTTTTGCAACTGGAAGCAGCTGTAGCAGTATTTGGAGATCTTTATTATCTTTCGTAGCCATGGCTTGCTCAAACAATCCCAGATAGCTTGGGAGGGGGGACGGCGGCAACGTGGTAATCTCCCTCTGACTCGTTCTTGGTCAGCCCTGCAAGGTAATCCGGATCAGGAAATGGACTCTGCTAGAAACACAAGTGCTAGCCCTCTATTGATATCCCCAAATGGTTTTTCAGGGGGCCACTGGAGTTCCTCGTTTTTCTTTGAAGACGTTTCGCTTCTCCTCCAAGAAGCTTCTTCAGCTCTGACCGAGCAACGTGGTACATGGAGTACATTGCACTGAGCCATGTGCAGATCTGCACGTTGGGGAAACGAAGCAGCCACTTCGTAAACGCTTGGCACAACACAGGAGAACAAACCCATCAGGACAAGATTCAGAAGCTCATCTGCCTTTAAGAGACAAAGGCCGCTCTTTGGAAGACAGCAAAGTCCACATTTTGGACAGAGAGGACCGCTGGTTTGAAAGAGGGGTCCAAGAGGCCATCTAGGTCAACCCTGAACGCCCTCTCTCAACAGAGGGGGAGAGACACGACTCTGTCTATCTCCAGTCTACAACACAGTCCTTTCAGCAGTTCCAAGAAGGCTCCACGCTCCTTTGCACCCCTCAGGTGACTGAGGACACAGATAAACCTCCAAGTGGTCTCAATGACTCTCCAAAAGGATGCAAATGACCAGCGGTCTGCCAGGAGTACAAATCCTTCCATTCCCCACCATCCAGTCAGAGCTGAAGAAGCTTCTTGGAGGAAAACAGGAAAGTCCAGTTGCCTCGTGAAAAAGCATCTTTGGGATAACTATGACCTGGATGACTGAGAATCTACATCGGACATGTCAAACCCAAGGCCTGGGGGCCGGATGCAAAGTGGTTTCATGTGGCCCGCGAAGCCATCCTGGAAACAGTGAGGGAATGGCCCCCGCTGCCTTGGCCCTGGCTCAGGCCGGCCGGGAGGGAGCCAATGTACAATTTTGTGGTGGCCATCTGTGTTGAAATGTATTCGGTCTTAGCTCCACAAGGCCAACTGGAAACAGCGAGGAACCAGCCCCTGCCGCGTCGGCCCCACCCCCTGGGTGCATGCTGGGGAGATGTCACCCTTTGTGCGGAATGAAGAAATGGACCATGCCTTGGCGCTTGTCCCGGTCCCACCCCTTCTGCCAGAGACCCCCCAAA